CAATTCAATTTTCATTTACAAGTTTGATTCAGCATTTGCATTTGACATTAAGTATGCTGGCTTTATTTGGGATAATTTTAAATGCAAATTGAAGTGAATTCAAAATTAAGAATTCGCAACGCTTTCCATCAGAATGCATTTTGTGAAGCAAATTAAAAGAAAGATATAAATTCGGATAATTAGCCAAAGTTATAGCTTAATTGTGAACAGAGATGCATTTAGGGATTGGTGTATTCTTTCCAATTCCGTACCATAACGATTATGCATAAATTGCTGATCTATTACTTGCAAGAACTGTGAAAGGAAGTAAAGAATGATGAGAAGAAGTAAGTTAAGTTGTTAGCAAATAGACTGATTCGAGAAAGCATCAGCACAGATCAGACTTTCAAAGTTTATAGTATTGAAAACAATAAGTGGTGCTAGAGATGCTGTCAGTGAGCAGAACAGAAACAGCTTGTTATACATAATTGTTAGTTGTGTGAGGTAAAGTTACGAACGTGAACTTATCGCATCATACGTTTGTTCTAGCAACAATGTTAAAGTGAGTAATGAAGGCATGAGCTGACTAAATGCATAAGATCTAAGTCGATTCAGCAGCAACGCAACAAATAGATCAAATGTCTTGGAAACAGCAGCTGATCACAAGCAGACAGTGCAGTGCTGAATTATTGGTCCTCTCATGCAATAACAACACAGAAAAAACGATGAATTGCTAGAAAAAACGATGAATTATGCAGTCCGTAACTGAAGTAAGTGTAAACTTCAGAAAGTAACGAGGTAATGGCGTAAATGATTTATACGCTTAATAGCTGCTATGGTTAGATATTTTAAGAACTTGCTGCAAAGCGTTGTGTAAACAAAAATTACTTCTGCAAGTGTGTGTGGTGAGTTCAGCTAATTCCCGTAGTCATGTACTAAATTTAATTTGCTTATTTTGATAAAAAATGCTTGCAGTTATAAAATATTACAGATTGTAATTTAATATTCATACTTGTAAGAATTGAATTAGAGATATTATTACTAAGCAATTTTTATAAACGAGATGACAAATTACAAAAATTCACTCTATACTTTCGATAAGCCTTTCTTTCGATTTAATGCCAGCACTAATCTTTATTTACTGAGAAAAAATACAAGCATTCAATAATTAGCTTCATAAACAAACTACTTACAGTACCCCACAGATGACTAACTTGTATAGCATTCAATGGTTTCATCTCACGCTAAATATTTCACGTGAAATTAGTGTGTGGAAGAGTGTGTATATGAGTGTTTCAGCGTAAAATTGATTGAAGTTAGGAGATGTTGATGTGATGCTTGCCGTTTGCGTATATTATACTGTTCAGCCGTACATACATACCATCTGCCTTCATTTATGCAAAAGGTTTTTATATGTACAAATGAAGTCAAATGCTAATGTAATGTCTAAATATAAAAATGAAGATGTTAGATTGGTAGATTCATTAGGAGAGCTGAGGCAGTGAAGGCGATAAAAGATGTAGCAGCTATTTGATGGGTTAGCTGCTCACAGAAATTAGATTAGGAAGTTAGTACTACTTGTTGCTACCTTGAAAATTACATATGTGAAACTTCAAAAAAGTTCGAATTCATCTAAAATATACTAAGTTACTAACTAACTAACTAAGTAACTAACTAACAATTTTACATATAATATAGCTAAGTTTAAATGAGAAGGAAAAGAATTGCAGTCAGTTGTTGAAGGCAGAAAACTTCACAAATGATTTTGCAATCGAAAATAGTACAAACGGACAATAATATCTAGCGGTCAGCTTTAGCATATCAAATTAGACAGTTAACTTCTTGAAAATGTAAATTAAAAATTATTGAACTTCACGTTATCGCTTCAACCAAACAACCATAGCAGATGTATATAGAAGATATTCCATCCTCGTTTTTATTTTATTATTTCAAATGCAGTTATCAGCAGAAATAAGCTTGCAGTGCCAATTCATGTTAGTATTGTTCTCTTTTCATTCCTCCTTCTTACTGCGTGTGTAAATTTCACTTTACGCATTATCACACGTCTTGTACTGCTTAAATTCTCATCGGTTATTAACTGCGCTCATCAACTGCACTTTATTGCTTCTTCCTTAAGCACTAATAATAATCGTTTGCTTTATTTTATTTTTAAAGCAAAATAAATGATCAAGTCACTTTATTTCACTGTCACGTATCTATTTTAGTTATGACTCTCATTCATACATTTAAATCTTCAACATGTGCAAAAATTTTTTTCTCCGGATGAGACATAATGTTTGCATAGTGAGCAAAGAACAGTCTTATCCTGTCAGCGTTTATTCTAGTACAGTAGCTTACTTAATTGTAATTAACAGAAGTCATATATTACTGTGTTATTCTCTTTGAAGATGGAAATTTTTCAAATACAGCATGGTTGGTATTTTTTTTTCCAGTAATGAAGCAGCTAATTTTAGTTTTATTTGTAAATATTAAAAGTTAATCAAATGGTACAAATATACATCTAAGCATTTGTTCTCTTGACTGCAAAACGCTTGCAGTCATCATTTTGCTACTTTTGTTTTCTTACTTTGCTTTATTTTCGACTTTTTATTAATAATGCCATCACACGTTATTTTATCCAAAGATTGTGCGTGCATATGATATGTGTGACCTTTGTTACTCCAATAGCACGTGTGGTGCGTTGCTTGCTATTTGGTTTTCATATTGAAGCATTTTGTTGTTACATTATTTTTCTATTCTCATCACTTCCTATAGTACTGATACTATTTTTTTGGCTTACATAGTTGTAATATTTTTACAACCTTAACTAGTTTTCACACCGTCTTCGCATTATAGGCATAATTATTGATTTTTTTTTCAATAAACTAGTCTAAATAGAAAAATAAATAAATTGTAAGAAGTGGACATGTGCAATATTGTTTACGATCAAAATATAGCATTAATTCTTCAAAAGTAGTGTTTAGTTCTTTTAAGCATTTCATTGTGGTCTATAAAAGATAAAAAATGTCTAAAAAGAATAGGATATTGTTTAGCACTTTATTAATACTTGATAAAAAATTTTTAGTGATGACATGTTTTGAATTTGCTGGATGTAACAATAGCAAAGGGTAATTTATAGATGAGTGTATCTTCTGTTTTTTAGCTCTGGCATCGCAGTCATTTGAAAATCACATCCAAGAAGATTGTCTGGATGATGAGCATGAAGTTCAACGACAGGAGGAACAAGGTAGGCTGAAAAGCGAAGCAGTAACAGCTGCAGTACCTGGCTCATTAGCGACTGTTTTGGAAAATTTGCCTTTGGTATATGATGCGAACGACAAGTGCTTGCAACAGGCTTACTCTCATGGTATCATAATTTTGTATTTAATTCTTTTTTCATTTTTATTAAGTAAATGCTCTTCTGATCAAATTATTTGTTTTCTAATTACTTTTTTTAAAGGTATATTTTTTTATATCGCCAGTTTCTCATCTTTTTATTTATAAGGATAAACTTTTCCCAGATCATTTTATTCATTTCATGAATTCATATAAATTTTATTCATTCATACTCTATGTTTTTTCAGATCTAATTTAAATTTCTGTTATTATTTACCTTTTTTCTTTAAACTATCATTTTTAATTTTTTTATTCGATCTTATAAATTCACTTATTTGAGTTTTATTCGACCTAATAAAGTTTTAACTACTTTCCTAATCTTTGAAGTTGCACCGAAGATTAATCTAAAAAAGCAAATAAAGACTGTTTTTTGTTTGTGAAACTAATTTTGAAATTCTTCCGATTTCTGCAAATTGTAAGGAAATAAAATGAGATCATATGTCATCCATAAATTTTTATGAGATGTTGGCTGCCATAAAAACTTTTTTTAATGTGAAGGTGGCAGCCGTAATACTACGAGCTACCGCAGCAGATGCGGGAAAATCTTGCGGACAGAATTAAGATTTTTAGAATTTGACATATTTTTCATAGTATTGCTTACTGTTAGTTTAAAATAAAATGTTGGTAGTTCATCATTTAATTAGTATCGAAAGGGTGGGTAGTAGGATTGGTTTTTAAAAAGAAAATTGAATTATATCATTTGTAACGAGATCATTCATGTGTCTAATATTCGTGCATTTTCCACTTAAGCTTTTATGCATCATTCGTCTCAGTATTCATAAGTGCTTCACTTATTCATTATTATATGTAGTATGCTTTGTAAATTAATGGGTGTTTGCAAAGCTTCTTTCAACTTTGTTGTATTAGCATTACTTACTAAAATGTTAAAAGTAGTAATAAAAAATTAGTTATATTAGAGACAATTGCAAGATTTTCTACTTACTAATATGAAATAATCTGTGGAAATATCAATAACTAATTAATGAAGGAACATGAAATCTGAAGTTACCAGTTATTTCGTTTTCGAAAATTTTTTTGTAGTAAAAAATTGTGGATCAAGAGGGAAAGGGTTATTCAAACGAGGCCATCATCGTAGATCTTCCTATGAATCGGCTGAAATCAAACTGCCGTATCATCCACGTCAGTTAAATTCTCGTTATAATCAGTGGTTAGATGATAAATCCTCAACAGCTCCAAGTGATTTTATGAAGTAGGTATTCAGTTTATTGCAAAACTCGCTTTTATAATTATTAACTTCTTTTTTGATAATCATCGTCGTAGTCGTTTTTTAAAGTTGATCTCGATTGGATTTGATGGCAAAATGCCGGAAAGAATTATAATATATTATATCTTCGTTTGTTCATTTATCCTTGGAAAAATGAATAGACGAGAATTGATTAAAATGATATAAAATCCAGTTTCTTTACATCGTATTTCTGACAAATAACAAATGAGATGATGGCAAGAGTTGAAAATATTCTTTTTCGTTTCATTGCCTCTTATAGGAGCCCTCATAAACCAGTTCGTTGATATCATTTCGCTTCCTAAGTTTATCAGTTGTATGTCGCATTCTTGCTACTAAAATCAGTTGTCAAAATTGCGTCTGCATGAACTTCATCTCTTAACTTTTGCTTTAATAATATTAGCTATCAAAATTTAGGGTATATTTTTTAAATTTATCTATCACGTTCCACTTGATCTTTTTTTACAGACCAAAAATGGTGGAAGCACCAGTTCTTGATAGGTCTAAGCGTTTTTCACGTTCAATTTCTTTCAAAGATGATTGTGATGAAAAGAAAGTATGTAGCCAGAGTTCAAAAAATCAGTCTCTCATTAATTTAACTACTGTGCCTATGAATTTTACTGCTATCGCTACAGTTGGAACGGATATTGATTCTGCAATAGGTAATGTCATTTTAACATTCTAATCATATGTATATGCAACGTTGATTTTATGCTATATTTATTTTTAAATATAATAAATTGAATCCTTCAACACATTCATGATTTGAATTGTCCAATTGTATGCAGGTATGACAAATTGAGACAGTTTTGAGAGCATCTCTTTTCTTGTTTATCGTTTGATGCTTGACTGTAATTTTGCAATTTTTTTGTCTATAACTAGAATAATTAATCATTTGTATTTTTCAAAAATTTCAATAGCACATATTTCATTAATTAACAGTGCAAAATTAGGAATAAATTCGTTTTCGTGTCTATAGGGGAGTCTTTGAGTTCAAAGCTTGGTTCACTGGATCGTCAGAGTATGTTATCTTCTGAGCTTATTCGTGATGATGACTGTAGCAGCGTCGATGAAGAAAATGTCAGTAGCGATATTGTTAGTTTCTTCAGTGAAAATAATATCACTAGTCATAGTAACCAAAATGATGGTACACAGAAGCAGAATAAAAAAGTGGAGCGCACTACGTTATCTATTTTACCGAATATCAACTTTACAAAGTTAGTTCATTTTATTACTTCGGTAGGAATATCTGCTTTTTTGTTGAATAATTATTGATTAATGCTTTTTAGTCTGTTCAAGATACATTCGTTCTATTTTTTTTCATATATTATTTTGATCATTAATTTGAAGTCTTTAAATCTTACGTTTGTATATATCACACTCAAGACAAATGTTGATGGTTTGCGTACTCTTCATTAAATTTAGAATTTCTAGAAAACTGTTCTCCCGAAATAAGCATAAATCATTTCATCATGAGAATCCTGATGCCTGGCGATTATTTGGAAACAAGTGGAAGAGCACAGCTGGAACTAGTGCTCCCAAAAGTCCTGCCAGCTCCATTACTGATGATCTATGCTGCTCCACAACTGGTTTGATTTTGGAGGACAGACCAAGGTTAGAAAAAGAATTTCGCACTTTGAATCGATCCTCATTCAAGTGTAAAATTGAAGTTCTTTTTTTGCCATTTGAGATATCAGAAAGTTTTTCTGAATTTAAATGGACATGTTTATAACATTTGGTAAAGAAGGTTGAAAGAAGAGCTTTTTTGCTGGTTAGAAACTTCATATCTTTTGGAATTGCAATAATTGGCATTTATATTTGTTTCTGAACTTTAAAATTAGCTTTTTCAACTCCAATTAACTTTACCATTTTCACGGCTGGTTTTAGAAATTTTATAATATTAATTATATGTGACTTTTTTGGACATTAACAAGTGATGCAGATAAAAATCAACCTTTATATATTCATATTTTTTCCTATCAATATGAAATTGTGTTCATTTTTTTCATCGAGCTATTGCGTTACTCAATTTACATTATTAGTAATTAAAAGATGTTTTAAGAAATTCTGCTTGTAGCACACTACCAGCAAAATCATTAAGAGAACAGCAACGTCATAAAGCGCAATATTTGGCACTTATTGAAGCAATGAAACGTAAAGAAGAACATCGCGCACGTCAAAGACAACAACTTCTGGAGACTAAACGGAAAGAAGAAGACGAAGCAGTGGCTGCAGCACAAATATGGTGCCAGAGATTATTACCGAATTGGGAAAATATGTAAATTTGTTTTTATTTTTTCTATTGCAGGTGTATCCTATAAATGTGAAATTGTGTTCTTCATTTTTTTACATTTAGCTATTGCATTACCTTTTCTTTATGCTTGTCTCTGTTTTTAATCATGGTTTTTCGCTTGTTGGTAGCTGTACATAATTTACAGGAAGGATACCAAGTATTGCCGCGAATTATGGTGGCGTGGGTTGCCATCAAAAGTACGTGGTAATGTATGGTCTCTGGCTATTGGTAATGAATTAAATTTGACATCAGGTAGAAACTTTAAAAAAATCTTAAATCTGTATTTAAATTTTCTTTAATGTCTTTAGTAAAATAATTAGATTATTACCGTTGTTTCTGTAATTTATTTTGTAGAACTGTATGAAATTTGTGTTGCTCGAGCAAATTATCAAAGGTTTTCAATAGCCTCCACAGAGCATTCCTGCTCTATTGATTCTACAAACAGTTCGATGAAAAGTGGCAACGAGTTTGTTCCACATCTGTTTTTAAATGGTCAGTTCATAATTATGGTTTTTTTTGTTGTGTCTGGAAAAAAATAAATAGGGATATTTTCAGCTACTAATAATGTGGAGCAGAGGATTGGACATGAAAATACTGTTGAACTGATTCATTTAGATGTCTTTCGTACCTTCCCTCATTTGGGTTTCTTTCAAAAGGTATATTCCGAAGACTTGAAAAAAAATCCAGTATTATAGCCTTTGTCATTTATTACTGTAAACAGGATCTAAAAGCTTTATTTATTGTTATTTATTGTGCTTTCTTGGAGCTATTTTTTACTATATTAATCACGAAGAAAATAAGCATGTAGGCTACATTTGGGTCTTATAATTCTGACGAAAAAAGGAAAATAAAGCATATAAATACATAGACAGATATAAATTTTTCAGGGTGGGCCGTATGAAAAGTTACTTGTAGATTTGTTAGGTGCTTATGTTTGTTATCGTCCAGATATTGGTTATGTACAATCTATGTGTTTTCTTGGCGCTATGCTTCTTCTCCAAATACACCAACCTTACCAATCATTTCAGGCGTTTGCCAATTTACTTAATCGGCCGTTGATGGTACTTTTATGATTTTTAAAAGTTCTTGAGACTAAATTTAGCTTGTTTTCCGATTTCAAAGCTTGTTCAGGATCATTTTATTTTTATTCTTGGATATCAGTATTTTAGTTGCCTGATATTATTTTCCTACATTTTCCGGCAAGAATTTTTTTTTCTAATCATATGAATCGTCATTAAGTGACATTTACTAATTTTTTTGTAAGCTGGCATTGTTCGGATTACGACAACCTCAAATGACAGTTTATTTCATCGCTTATGATCAGTATTTCGAGCAAGAACTGCCTCAATTGCATCATCATCTCGATGTGCTCGATGTACGACCTGACCTGTATCTCATTGAATGGCAAGTTTTGAAATACTCATAAATTTATCAAGCTTCTACAATTTGCCTTGTGTAAATTTTTAAGGCAGTAAATACTTATTATTTTTTTTATTTGCATAATTAAATTTATTTGGGCAAAAATTTTTGTTAATCAGGTTTGAATGCGTATTAGCCTTTTATATATATAGCTTTTATACCTGGTTGGATATGAACATTTTTAGGCTCTATCCTCTTTATGCAAAATCACTACCATTTGATGTTTGCTGTAGAGTTTGGGATGTTTTTCTACGTGATGGTGAACAGTTTTTGTTCAATACTGCTTTAGGTGAGCTTTTCCTTTTTGTATATATTTTTTCATGAAATTTCAATGAAATTAGTAGGCTTTTTTTTCACTTTTACTTTTTTATTCACCAATTTATTCTCATTTTTTTGTCTTTTTCTGCTTTTGATACTGCTCATCCTGATACTTGGACTTTCATTTGATTGAATTTTCTGATATTAAGCCGAATAAAATGTGTTTGTAAATTAATTTCCAAAGTAATATTTTGCTTGTTATGCAGTTAATAGGAAACGCCTCGCAATAAAGAATACTGCTATACGCAATATTCTTTCCTTTATTTTGATACTTATTATTCGTATACACTGTGCTCGCCTCGTATTAAATATGTTTCAATATTATTTATTCTTGCAGTTTTTGATAATCAATTTCAAACTTATTAGAAACTTGCGAAATGTTAAACTGCTTCTTCTTAAACTCACATAATGACAGGTATTATGAATTTATATCATGATGAATTGAAAAATATGGATAACTTTGACGCTGTAGTCCAGTTTCTTACCCATTTACCGGAATCAATGGATGTAAATCAATTATTCGATGCTATAGAGCCTTTTATGAAAATTTCTTCATCGTTATCTTTGGGGACTAATACAGATTATGGGATTGGGAAAAAACGCTCATTTTTACAGGTTGTATACTATACCCATGCCAAAAAATAGTAGTGTTTATATGAATTTTGCAATTTGATAATTCATTATCTGATTAAGATTTTTGTTTCGTTAACTTTGTTATTGCTCATTGTTCACGGATGTAAAAGTCCCGAAAATATTTCTCACTCACAACATTATTTTTTAGTAGTAGATTCTAGATTTATTCGGATGTCAGTGAGCGCATCGGTCAAACAGCTTCAGTGATTCATGGAAGTGCTGGGGTCAATTCTGTTTCACCGCCTGTAACTGCGTCATGTCAAAATATGGAGTCAAGTATGCTTTTATGTTATATTTTTCATGACTCTTGTTGATCTGTCTTGAACAGGAAGTAGAAACTTCTTTACTTGCTTTATGTTTGATAATTTTAGGTATCTAATTTAGCAAAAATAAGTTTTTTACGAGTCCTCATAAATTTGTCAAGTTTCTGGTATTAGGTTTTCAAAATTGTTATGTCATTCAGTCGCGATTTATGTAACATTGCCAATATGTATTTATTTTATATTTTCTAGAAACGGAAGAAACATTTTTGTCTCCATTGTGTGCTACATCTCAGGCAATTAGTACCTCAGTCAAAGATTCAGAACATGTTGACTGCCAGCAAGCAACAGATTTTCGCTCCAATGTACAGGCGCTGAAAATTAGCAAGAGTTTGAGTGGATTTTTAGGTAGTAGGTTTTATTTCTTACTTGAGACTTTCCGATTTCTTCACTTCCTGTGAAGTTTTATTTCGGTTGTATCTAAGTTATTTAAGGTTTTCTTTAGGATATGATTGTCTTTTCGATTTAAATGAAATGACACTAGAAGTGCAAAATTTAAATAGAGTTCTGTATGTAAATATTATTTAGGGTTAGTGTTATTGCAAAGCCATGATATTTTGAGCAGTCGTAAATTGAATTTCCTAAAAGGACATTTTTCTTTCTGCATGACAGTATAATGAATAAAAATCATCTCTCTCTCTATATATACGATTTTATTATATACGAAATTAAGCTTGGGTCATCTGCAGTAAAGTTTATTTGCAGATGATTTATTACGAGGTACACCGTCGCAAGAAGTTAATGTGTTTCCGAAGAGGAGTAGGGCTCCTACTGCTGTTTAAATGATTGTTCAATAAGCAGTGCCATTATAATAGGTTGTAAATGAATTAATGACTAATACAACAGGCCGTTGGTTTATTTATTGAATTTAAAAATCAGTTGCTGATTTCAGACATATATTTTCGTCATTTACTAGAAAAGAGTCTGAAAAAGTCAAAAACTAATGTTGGAGCATTTTATTTGCAGTTGTCGTTTGCTAGCAACGACATGTTTTAATCAAATCTATGTTGTATGTTTAAAACAAATTCTGCGTTATGAAACAGTGAGTCGCGGGGAATGTAGGAAATGTCTATATATTGTCCGACATATTTTGCTGAATAGTGAAAATTCAGTTTAACGCTTTACTTTTTTTTCGATCAGCCTGTTTCAGTCGAAAATATGTATATACTTGAGAAGCAGTGTCTGTTTCAGATTGATTCTACTTACAGTTTCTACCTAATTATAATTGTTACCATTGTCATTGCTCATTGTTACGATGTTATGCCGTGGTGTTGTTGCTTAGCATAATTATTAATAATAAAACTTTCTAAATTCTATGCTCTGGTAGTTTTTATTTTTCTCAAATTTTTTACAGATTACGTGAAAATAATGGGTGCAGATGAAAAAATATATTTAAATTGACACTTTCTGAATATGCTAATAAAACATCTAGGACTTGCTTAAAGAAATAAATTGCTGCAAACTATTGCAAATTGTGACTTGAGATTCTTCTCACTCAGTGTTCTTTGTTCATTTTAGATTCTATGACTTTGGGCAGTCAAAATATCGAAGAAATGAAGGTTTTGTTTATGTCTCTGTGAATTCATTCAAAAAAGGAGGGTGCAGTAGTGAGTACTCGAATAATATCAGTGAAAGTAAAAAATTGTACAAAGAGCAACGACTTATTCCTATGGGTTTTGATAAATTTCACATTTTTTGGATAGAAGTATATGCAGATTTGCAGTTGCTGTGTGATCCAGTCTCTAATTGATGAGTACTTCAATTTGATTATCTTATTTGCCAGTGTAAACTTTATATGAAAAAGATTTTCAAAACCTTAGTGGATAAAAATTTATCTTCATCGTGACTAATGAGTAAATTAAATATATCAGAACTCAGTTGTTAGCTTATATTATGAATCGAAACTGCAATGAATAATAGTTACAGTGATTTTTCACTTTATATTTTAGCTTTAAGAAATAGGAAAAATGTGTCGTAAATATTAATTTTCATTTTAGCAGTATTTACTTGACTATAACGTTACTTATCCGGTTACTTCATACTATGTATAGACGCGCGTATTTGACGTACTTTTCCATGCTAGCAATAAAATACGAAATAAGAAGGCAAGTTTATTTCAATAGTAATAATTCAAGTAATTGTTTCTTTTTGCTTAGAAAAAATAAATAATTCTTTTTGCTTAGAAAAAATAATTCTTTCTTAGCATCATTATATCATGTGATAGTTTATTCACTAATAGCAGCAATATGACCCTAACTTAATGGATATCTTTTTCAATCATTTCAAACTAAACCTATTAGTTATCATTGCTGTATTACTAAATTTTTATATTTTTTAACAGTTAGTTGTGAATTTTAACTATTTTGAAGTAATTTATTAATCAGGTTGTTATTTTGTTTAGTTATACTGAAAAAAATTATACTTCTCATTACTTTGCTATGCAAAAGTAAAATTCACTTCTTTATTCATTTATAACTTTGCTACAATTTCGTTGAAATGGATAACACAAATGGGTAATCGTCTAGTTAGCATTCATCCTATTTCAATATCTAATGTCATGCAGCCTTAAGAATCCTTCTAGGCGTTGCTTACATACGCTTGCTCAGATCAAACATGCGAAACCAATAAAACTTTGCTTTTTTCAAAAAATACTCAAGTCAATATTACATCTTGGCTTAGCTAAAAATTGGAAAACACAAACAAGTTGGCATGTTATAGAATTATTAAAAATAGGGCATGAACTTTCATGAAACTGCACAAATTGCTAATTGAAGTAGTTGTGATTGATTTATAGTATCTAGCAAAAATAATTTTACTCTGATTTGAAGCAAAAATAATTTATTAAGCAGTGAATTAGAAAAGCGTGCTTAGGCATGAATGTATGCTCATTTTTACAATGCTACTTTGCATCAAACTTTAAAAGTTTCTTTACAATTATGCAAAACCTTTAACCTTTATCTCTTATTTCCTAAATATTTGAAGACTCTCTATGCTCCATTCGGTCCTTGTTTCTTCCTATTGAATTTTTAATGTAGGCTTTGTGATATCTTATTTTTTATTGCATCACTTAGCAAATATGTAAATAATTTTATTTTTTAAATGCTGCTCTAAATGTTTTTATTTAATTCTTAGTTATCTGAAGGCGATTATTTCATTTTCAAATTTTCTTCTCTCAGAACAGTTTAATTTTATTGAATAAATTATGATCCGTGACAATTACTTATTAACAAATTATTCAAAAACTTTTTTGAATATATTTTTAGTCCTTATACAATTTTTTTCTGTAACTTTCCATTTTTTCATCTAGACTTTCAACAAGAATTGCTTACATTTAGAAAGCTTATTGAAAATAATTTTAGGCAAGAAAAAAATTGTTTACAAGAAGGAATTTATAAAATTGTCGTTGTGAGATCATCCGAAACAAACTTAGACAAATGACATTTGAAGTGAAAACTTTTTCAGCACATTTAGACTACTGAGCGAATTCTATCATGTGATTGCTATGTTAGAATAAAGATCATAAAATTGGAAATTAAATGAAAAGTAGAAAATTAAAACTTTTGTACTATAATTTTTAATAATCTGCTTAATTGGCAGACATAAGCAGTAATGAAATTCAGAGAGAATCGCGAACTGGTTTCTGTCTTTATTTCTACAAAGTAATGAATATGAAAACATCCAATACTTCCAAATTAATATTGTCATATATTTTTTACTTAGTTCATAAAATGTAAAAATCAATGGTTCTTATTCATGGTTAATAGCTTGCTTTTTTAATATTTACCAAATGCTTTCAATAATGATTGATTCATTAGTAATATTCAAGCTAGATGCATACTTTTGCACTCACAGAAATGTTTGTGACTAATTAGTTAAGCTGAGGTCAAATTAATCCTTCAGGAAAAAAGTCAGCCTAAAAATATCAGAAAATTTTCAAGTCATTAATTTAGTTTCTTCTTAACAGAATTTTTTAAAGTTTCTTCGCAGAAAAAATCTCATCAATTAGATTGAGGTCTAATTAATAATTTTTTTTTTCTGAGGTGATAAATATAGAGCTACAAATAATTAATATTATGCAATAAGAAATGATATTAAAAATGGCCAAGTAATATCTTTTATTAGTTAGCATTATTTGATGATGTGCAGTAAATATGTGCATTATGCTGTTTGAATACTAAATATTCTCAATATTGCTTACTTCTAAGTTCATAGTAAAAGTTCTGCAAAGTTATTTGTTAACAAAAATTGAGATGTTGTAAATAAAGAATGAGAACGAGCTTAAAACCTAGAGGCTAGTCTTGAAATATTACTTAGCTGAGAGAGAATAACAAATGAAGGAAGTATTACTCTGAAGAGAGATGAAATGAAGCACACAAAAAAATTGGTGGAGGCAATAGAAGGAAAGAATGAATGAATAAGTAAATAAATAAATGAACGAATGAACGAATGAATGAATGAACGAATGAATGAATGAATCTTTGTATAAGTCTTTATAAGGCTTGCTAGCTAGCAAGTTAAAAGAAGTAGTAGTGGAAAGAATTAAAAGTAGCGAAGAAATCAAGTTTCATATTTTCTCATTAGTTTTTCATTTTCATTTTTATTAGCAATGAGAAGAAAAAAAAATTTTTTTAATAATTTTTTAATGAAAATACAAACTTATTACAGTTATAGAATTAAACATATTCTCAGTTTATCCTTTCATAATTTGCTGATTTTTTTAGTCTAACACTAACTTAGACTACCTTGCATTGCTGCTATTAACGTATTACTGAAAAAATTATAAATAATAAGTTAATTGAATAACTTTTTTTAAAATTTAACATTTGCTATTTAAATTATTAGTATTGCTATTTTTCTGATCTTACCTTTCATAGCATTATCGCTTTAGTTATTTATAATACTTTGACACATTTTCCTAATTTTTTTATTTTGTTGGAAAATATGTATTTAATACTGAAAGTTTTGGGATGCAAATCATAACGCAAAACTACTATATAATTATTAATATTTTCTTCTTTTTTGCTTTGTTTTTTTAAAACATAATTACTCTTGCATTGTGTGAAAAATTTTGGCAGAATATTTCCAAAGCTAATTTAAATAATTTTGCAGGTTATAAGAACTTACTTTTTGACTCAATGAAAAATGATTCAAGATAAAAAGCCAAAGTCATTACGAGATACCTGGCAGATTCGGCAATATTACAAAAATTGCTGCCCAAGCACAAGCAGATTTCAATGTTCATCATTATCAAGTAGACAAAAAAATAACAGTAATAAAACATTAGAATGCTATCAATGCAAGGAAGTTGGTAGTGAATCATCACAATTGCATGTACTACATCAAATTACTGCAAATACATGCCTTCCAAGCAAGCAAAAAACACTTCAGATTTACTTTAACTTAGCAGTTATTACACATAAAATGCTAATTTTGACTAAAATAAACAAATTGACAATGCTTGTAAAAATGCAAATTTCACATTTGCAAATTTGGCAGTGTAAAAAACAAAATGATTCTTCATTTATTTGGCGTATTACTTATGCAAAGAAGGAAAGAAAACGTTTGCTAAGCAAATTGTACAATACGGGACGTATATGGATAACGTTACTGTTATTATTAATAATTATACACACACCACAGCAGGTGATGATGACTAGAACAAAAAGTATACACAATGGATATTGTGAACTTAACAAAGGTAAGCATTAATCTTATTATTTGATTATAATATTTCTATTATCCACAAGTTTTAATAGTATTTGTTATTACTTCGAATTGAAAA